GTTTTTCCACCGAGATGCGTTATTCCAACGTCAAGAGCTCTTGGGACAAATAAGCTTATTAGCGCTGTTTACCTAGGCCTATGGCGTCTTTGCTGATGACCATCTCGTTTCAGGTGAATTCGAATTAATCTGGGCGTTTTGCGACTAGGCAAAGCCAATTCGTATTGAACAGAACATCGGATCAGCCACAAACGGCTAATGTGCGAACGGTTCATTGCGCTAAGACAGTTGCCCCTTTTCTTCATCGATCTGCTAGTCCCAAACCCTCCTAGGCGCATGTCTATTTTCATGGCAAGTCTGGGGATGTCTGTCAACAGTCATTCAGTCACTCTGATGGGGTTGGCAGGTGCGCAGACGTGATGTGAACATCAATGGCAGCTGTCACGCATCATGCACGAGTATCTGAGCAGCTCAACACCTCATCAAGGCCAGAAGATTCACTTACAATTGCCAATGCTATGGCCAGTCAACAAATAAGCTACAAGATGGTCTGAAGACCAAAGAAACGATGCGTACACAAGAATGACAATGTGAAGCTTTCCATAGGTTGGTGCAAGCCACCCACGGTTCTCGACGACGCCGCGCAAACTACGAGACCACGGTAGCTAGCAGCCACGAGCCCGATCGAGTTTCACATACTGACCAAAAGGAGAGGCTGAGCAAGATCGCATCCGATACCCGGGATTCCAGGATTGCGTCCGGCTCAATGTAGCCGTAGTGCAACTAGTCGACCACCACACCGGCGCCATGGTTAAGGCCGGCGTCAACGTGCTTCAGGACCTTTTGAAGTAATCCGATGTTAGCACCAGTTCACGGCTCTCCTCCGCCTGACTTTGGAAAGACGGAGTGGTTTCGCATGGTGCGATCGGGGTACAGAAGGTGAAGTCCTTCAAGCTGCAATTCAGCATATAAGGGACCAGAAACTCCCGCAATCATGAGTCTTCGTTCTCTTCAGATCACATCGGCTTCGAGCTCGCGTCTCTCTACATTCGTTCATAATACCCTAGAGAAGTTCTCTCTCTTACACTTTCGCTTTTAATCACACGTTCGTTTCTTAATAATCCGCCAGCTGGTCTCGCTGTCTCATCATGCGCGTTTCCATCCTCACCGCTGCCCTCGTGGCGGCCCCCGTCTTGGGCTACCCCGGCATGAAGAATACCTTCGCCGAGATCGCGGCCCGCCAGGGCAGTTCCAACGGCGGCAAGTCGACCGAGATCATTGGCGATCTCGCGACGCTTGACGACTCGAAGCTCACTCCCGTTGGCAAGAATATCAAGCAGCTCCTTTCTGGTGCCGGCAATGCCGAGAGCGACGAGGCTTACCCTTCCGGCAAGAAGAGATCCGCCCCTATCCATCCCAGAGACTACGGTTACGGGGGTGGCGGCGGCGGCGGAGGTGGTGCGCCTTCTGGAGGAGGTGGTGGAGGCGGCGCTCCTCCTTCTGGTGGCGGCGGTTCCCCTCCAGCTTCCGGAGGTCGCGCTCCTCCAGCTCCTGGCGGTGGCAAGCCTCCAGCTCCCGGTGGTGCCCCACCTTCGGTCCCGGGAGGTGGGTCATATGGCGGCGCTCCTCCGGCCCCTGTAGGAAGCAAGCCGCCTGCTCCAGGCGGTGGCCCTTCTGCTCCCGGTGGCTCTTCTCCTCCGGCCCCAGCGGGAGGCAAGCCGTCAGCTCCAGGAGCCGGTAGTCCTCCTGCTCCCAACAATGGCGCGCTCCCAGCCAAAGACACACCGGCTTGCGCTGCCGACACCTGTTGCATCTGGAAGTACATCGCTGACGACCTCGCAACCACGTTCAGAGGTGAATCTGGCCGTTGCACCGACTTCGCTCGCGCTGCCATTCGCCTCGGTTTCCACGATGCTGCTGGTTGGTCTAAGGGAACCGGCAACCTCGGTGGCGCTGACGGCTCGATTGTGCTGTCCTCTTCTGAAGCCTCCCGTGTCGAGAACAAGGGTTTGGAAGAAATCATCGAGCAAACTAAGACATGGTACAACAAGTACAAGCAATACGGAATCAGCATGGCGGACCTCATCCAGTTCTCCGCAAACGCTGCTACCGTTGTGTGCCCCCTGGGTCCCCGCGTCAGGACCTTCATTGGAAGAAAGGATTCATCAGTTGCTGCTCCTCCCAACCTCCTTCCCGACGTCAACAGCCCAGCTGATGCCCTGATCGATCTTTTCAACAACAAAACCATCAGTTCGTACGGCCTCATTTCGCTCATCGGTGCGCACACCACCAGTCAACAACGCTTTGTCGACCCTTCGCGTTCTGGAGACCCTCAGGACAGCACCCCTGGTGTGTGGGATGTCAAGTTCTACTCCGAAACCATCGGCAACGCTCCCCCGCGCGTGTTCAAGTTCAACAGCGACGTTGCACTATCCAAGTACCCTAGCACAAGCGCCCAGTTTGCTGCTTTCGCCGGTCCTGGTGGCCAAGCTGCGTGGAACGCGGTAAGTTCAGCTGCTGATACTTCTCTCATGAACAATCCTAACTCTGCATCAGGCCTACGCTCACGAATACGTCCGTCTTTCTCTTCTGGGCGTTTACAACATCAACGACTTGACGGAATGCACAAAGTCACTTCCCGCACGCTGGGCTCCGTCTGGTTTCACCGCCTCCGACCAGGGCAACGTCGATACTTGGGTCGCCAGCAAGGGTCCCGTTCCCAATATTCCCGATGAGATTAGAGGAGGCAAGCCCATCGGGCCTCCCCCGCGTCCTTCAGGCCCCGGAGCATCAGGCAACAGTCCTGCTCCTCCTACGCCGAAGGGTGGTGCTCCTGGCGGGCAGTACGGAAACGGTCCGTCTTCCCCGCCTAAAGGCAATGCTCCTACTGCGCCGAACAGCAACGGTCCGGCCGTCCCGCCCAAGGGCAATGCACCCGGTGGACAGTACGGTGGGGGAGGTGCGCCTCCTAAGGACAACTCTCCCCCGGCAGGCAACGGCCCATCTGCTCCTCCGAAGGGCAACTCTCCCCCGGCCGGCAACGGTCCATCTGCTCCTCCCAAGGGTAACTCACCCGGTGGACAGTATGGCGGCGGCGGCGGCGGTGGTGGCGCACCTCCCAAAGGCAACTCTTCTCCCCCGTCCACCGGTGGTGGTGGCGGTGGTGGCGGTGGTGGCTACGGTTACTAGATAAAATGCTCCAGGAAGAAGGAGAGACGTGGGAAAGGGACGAAATGCAGCGCATTTATGCCTACAATCAAAACCTGGGAGGAAAGTCCATTCATGAGAACAGAAAACAATGTCGCGAAGTTGTCAGGATTAGTGGTGCTGCTTGTAGAAAAGGTGACTTGACCGCGATGGGCGCTAATCAATATAATACCTCCATAATAGAAGATGACGTAACTGGGGTCTCTATTTCTACTATGAGGTTGACATGACTGCATTCAAACATGAGAATCTGGGTCAAATTTCGGTGGTAAAGTACAGTGAAGCATAGGCCCCAGATGTGTAGACACTTCGCTGGTGCTTACTGTCTTGAGCATGGTGCCTTCAAAAAAACGTGATAATGTGAATGACCCTTGCATAGCATCGGTTCAGTTGGTGGGCTATGCTAGGGCGCTACACAACGTAAGCGGAACCACCAACCATCTGGATGCCTAATTCTCAGTTGCTCGAAATGCTGGAGCCTGAAGCTCGTACTGCAAGAAAAACCATGAAGTGGTGCTGCTTTCCACATCGGGATTGTAACCAGTCCATTCAAATGTGTCCGAAACAGCGCAAAGGGTTTACATCATCATCATGGATATCTTACCCATTATTGAAAAGTCGCATATGCGACTCTTCTGCGAAAGGCCTTTGAAACAGCTCGACGACATCCCCAACGGGATGACGAACCCAGTCTATCAACTCACAAATGGCCTCGAGGATCGCCTCGTTCAAGATCTGTTGCGACACGACGACGCCTGCTGTGACAATCCAACGTGTCCCGCCGCAGACACCGAGGACGACAGAATTTCTGGATCTAGATACTCTTGCCTGGACTGTGTCCCGGAACAAATCGACTTCTGCTCAAAATGTGTCCTGCTCCCGGGTCAGGGAATCGAACACAGCCAAAGCCATCGATTGGTTCAACTCTTGCCGACAATCTGTGCGGTCTGTGAAGGGGTGGTATCACTAAACATCCATCCGGGCGACAACTTCCGGGGTCCATACAGAGAGTATTCGGCACCGGGCGCGACTCTCAAGCGGGTGGCGGAAGCTAGGGCCTGCGGGTTCTGCTCGTTTGTGTGGACTGCCCTGCTACAACATCCCCTGGACGACATTCAGTGGCCTCCGGATGAAGATAAAAGAGTGACCATTCGGGTGAGACAGCCGTGGTCAAGTTGGCTGGAAATCGCGGTCGTTGCGGACGTTGGTGCAGAGGAAAGCGACTTTGAGCTTCAAGGTGAACAGTTTACCAGAAAAAGCCAGAATGTTGGCAGCATGGAACGAGAGCTGCAAGTCGGACCACCGATGGGTAAGTCTCCTTGCTTGACATTAGAAGCGCTTGCTACCGAGTTGGCTGACAACCCCGTCAAGAATGGTCTCATGAGATGAGCATCAACCCCCTCACTTCAGATGAGCAGAGATTCAAACCCGCCAGCCTGGCAAAGGTCCAGTCTAGTTCAGGTTCAGATGAGGCGCTGCTCCTAGCAAACAAGTGGCTAGACAACTGCCGCGAACGGCATACGACCTGCAATATGCCCCAGCCAGCTCTCTTACCCACGCGAGTACTCGAGCTTGACGGGGATGATCGGAACCGAGTTTGTCTTCGAGAATCTCATGGTGGGAGCGGTGACTACGCGGCTCTCAGCTATTGCTGGGGTTCCGGGGCGCCTGGACTCATTACCACGACAAAGAATTACCACTCCCATCTTGATGGCATCGAAATCCAAAGCCTGCCGAAAACCATTAGAGATGCCATCCATGCGGCCAAAAAGCTCGATCTGCAATATCTTTGGGTAGACCGCCTATGCATCATACAGGACTCTGCGGAAGACTGGACCCATGAAGCGGCGCTCATGTGTGAGGTCTACTCTGGTGCCACCCTCACTCTTAGTGCCGACGGGAGCAACTCTGCAACCCAGGGTCTCTTCCAAACCGACCAAACCCTCTCGAAGCTTGAGTATCGTACCTACACCAACCCCGACGGAGATGTCACTCCGATGGTGCTCATCAAGCCGCAACCTCACCCAACGGTGTCGGGTCGCGCGTTGGATTTGAGCCAGCCCATTGATTCAAGAGGGTGGACGATGCAGGAAAGACTGATGAGCCGACGCGTGCTGCATTTCACGAGTGACGAGATGGCATGGGAGTGCGATACCCTCACGGAGTGTGAGTGCCGTCAGGAATCTGGCCCATCCAACCGGGAACTGTCCTTGGGCCGTAAACACGACATGCAAAGCATTTACGATACTTGGCGTCTGATTGTCCGGGCATACGCAAAGCGATCGTTGGCGCACGAGTCGGATAAAATGCCAGCTCTTCGAGGTCTCGTGGATAGATTCCACCGTTTGATGGCTCAAGCTTCAGACGCTGATCCGGACGAGTACCTCGCCGGACTCTGGAGAGGAGACTTGGTGGCTCAGCTGGCGTGGAAGCCCCCATCACCATCAGATCTGGAAGCTTTCATGAAATCTACTAATCGAAGAAACGTTGACAACATAGGAGATACAAGCACGGAAGACATGGAGGCCTGGATGGCCGTGCTGAAGGAGCGCAACAGGCAAGGAGACTGGCATGAGTCCGGGGGATATGTCGCTCCGACTTGGAGTTGGGCACACTTGAGAGGACCGATTTCCTACCTCACCTGTCTTCCGAGCACACCATTCGTATCTTATGCCAACGTCATCGAAGCTCAAACGGTGCCTGCCATCCCAGACGAACCGACTGGTCAACTGTTGTCTGGATCTATCACCTTACATGGTCACATGGTGGGCGGACTAGACTTCGACTCTGCGCAAGGCATATACGAAGATGGAACGGTCCAGGATATCTGCTTTTTATCTTTAGAGAAGCATGGCTATCGCTGGTCTATCGAGTTTGAGCCTGACGACGTTGCCGGACTGACTAGGAGGCGCGGATGCAATTTGACTGACGTCGTGGTGTTTCTTCTTGGAACAAAGGACTTCAAACTGGATGATGGAGAGGAAGGTGTTGTCATTGGCGTGAGCAAGCCCACGGAAATATCCAGACGCAAGCAAGAAGCCGAGGTAGACATGTTGGAAGCCGGGGTTCAAGCTTTGAATATCGCGAGGTCAATTCCTAATGAGCTCTCCGATGTGTTCTGCCAAGATCTAGACTTTGCAAGGTGGTCCTCGTATCTAGTCTTGGTTGAGTCGCTGGAGGGAAAGGGCAAATATGAGCGGGTTGCGTGTTTTGATGTATGGGGCCGGAAAGACAAAGAAGTTCTTGAGTCACTCTTCGCTGATTCAACGATGGGTCAAATAACAATCGTCTGACTTTACTTGAACTCAAGAAATGTCTCGAATGCACAGGATATCTCATAGAAGATGACATAGGGAAGCATTGCCTCGAGTAAGCGTAGATAATCGCATCTTGGGTGCAAGCCGTCGAGAATGTCGCAGTGAACTTCGTCTGCTACTTCCTCAGTGCGACTTCTCGAATTTCCCTGAAATCCACAGCGAATGGTCAGTATTATAATATACCATCATGAAGGTAAAGGCGAATGATAGAGGCTAAAGCTGAAAAATGCACAACAAGCGCTGGCAGCTAGATGTAATTCCAAGACTGCGTCAAACTCGATCTCAACAACCAGGGCTTGATAAATAAAAAGCATTCGACTTCTGCATATGATTCCTCCAGAATCATGGTACGAAGCATGTTAAAATCTTATAATATCATCTCCAAACGAACACGACAAATGTTACCATGGCAAAGCCCTGTGTACCGTAATGAAAGCACTCGTGTATGACTCTGAGGGATATAATGTGATTCAATTTTCGGAGAATATTTCAAATAAACTGTTTGTGAGAATCTCGGGATTCTTCTTCGAACGCGAACGACATCCGAGCATGTTTCGGTGGATCGGAGCAAGCAATGCTCATCGCAACTCTTTGGCGCAAACGAAGGCCCTTGGCAAAATGCTAGAAACCATCTGTGCATATCCCGCCGGCTGCGCCTTGAGCGCGGGTTCCAAGACGTCGGGTAAAATACTTCTTCGTGCATCTCAATGACGATGTCACCGAGTTGAAAGCATCGAGAATGTTGATATTCGCTCCTGGGGTGCTCCTCGCTATCGCGTTCGCTCCACGTCCTGACCGACGTTCGGACCAGATCACGTCACAATTTCAAGCCAGGCTGCCATTTGTGGGTGATATACATCAGATCGCATATAGGTTGAATTAGCATTATCTCGCTTAGTATCCCTGGCAAACCATGCGACTTCCCAAGAGCCTCTTCCCTACCGAGCAGGCCCGATCTCGTCATCTTCGAATAGCTGAAGACCGGAGACGAGACCACGGATGAATTTTCCGATTTCCCAGGTCACATAGATCTTGCTGCCGCACGGATTTTGCGGGATGAATAGACCCGCCGACGAGCTCGAACGGCGATGTGCCGCCCTTCCAACGGCCCGTGCTGGGAGAGTGGTCTGACGATGAGGTGTGCTTTGGTTCGTCTGGAATGGAAGTGCAGACACAACTGTAGAAGCAGCTCACTTAAGCATTCTATCGGCGCCCACTGGAAGCATCTTTGAACGATAATGCAGCTTCACTGTCCGAAGCTATTGCTTCGCAAAACCGAGACCGGAGGTGGCTCGTATCCGTTTACCTTTTGGCACATTGTAAAATCCAGAATTTCTAAAGCAGCAACGCTACACATGCATCCAAATAGCTGTTCGAAACCGATTGAATATCACCATTTGTCCGTGGTAAGAAAATGAACACGTTAATCGCATCCGGAAAACCAAGTTACCCTCTTCCCGCCGCCGTAATGCTGCCAGCAGCATCGTTGCACAGCCACAACTCACGAGCTGCCGACCCCTTTCAGTCAGATTCTAATCACAGTTTGGACAGCCTCGGAGCCCTGCAGCTAATGAACGGCCGAAACGCAAGCTGGTTCGGTGGGTGATGGGATGAAACTATCGACCAAGCCGGCTAGCCCAACGTGGACTAGGTATTGCAGGACGTCCTATCGCCGACGGCGAAAGCCTGAACATTGCAGAATGCAGACTTCGTCGTTCTGGGTGAAGATGCTAAATTTATGTCTTGATGCAGCTGTCAGAAACTGCATGGTGTATTAAAAGCCCAGCCAATGCGAGTGCGAATGTCGGAATATGTGGACGTCACATTTGGAATCGCCTGCGTGGTGATTGCGCTGAAACCACTGTCGATTTGGCGATGTCTTCACGGATGAGTAGGCACGTTTGATGGTTTGCGCTCGTCAATCGTATCAATTATCCTAACCGCAAAGTGGTACATTAAATCATGTAACAATCGTGACTGTCGAACTCGAGATCGTAAGCTCACATTAGCCGTCACCCCAGCGCCGTTTGCTGAGTGGTATCTCGTCTAGCGCCCGTGAATATCAACCCAAATGCCAGCCCAAATGATGCACCCCGGCCAAAAGAAAACTGATTAAACTTCGTTGACAAAGAACCGCGCCTGGTTGATGCCGGATACGTCTGCGATGTACCGGAGCCTTCCTCTGAGGTATCGTCTCTGCCGTGCTGTTGCCCATTCGCTCTTCATGGCCATGGCCACCGGCCACATAACGATGAGCCCAGCCTCTCCCTTGAGAGGATCGTCAGGCTTGGTGGTACCACAAGGAAACTGTGAAACGATCACTCCGTACCCGTTCCAACTGCAGAAGTACGGAACTGCCCCGACAATATCCTCAACACGGGTGGTGGCTATCCGGTTTAGCTCATCATACTCGTCATCATCCTCGAACATTTCCTTCCCAGCCGAGGCGAGCCATGAAGAAGCTCGCATCATGGTCGTGATCAAGTTGAGATGAGTACACCAAGTGACCAAGTGCAATACGGCCATCGGAAGGTTGAAGAACTTGTACACCTGCCCCTCGAAAGTCGGCTCCGTATCGAGCTCTTCGTCGGTTCGATCGAAAACGTATTCCGCCGTCTCGACCTTCCACGTAGGACTCGGGTTGTTGTCGTTGATTTTGCGAAACTCTGCCTCCAATCGTCGTGCCTTTACAACCAGCTCCATCATTTTCTCAATCGCTTCGGGACTCGGTGAGCTGGCCTTGGCAATGATGCCGTCGACAGCCTGCTGAATCTGACTGGCCATGAGACTGATGTCAACAGTCGGCTTGTTGCTCTGCTGAATGGCTTCGTTGTAAAGAAGCCACGAGTAACTGGACATCTCGGCTTCTTTGAATATGTTCGACACGGAGAGGCATTGATTCCTCGTCATTGCAAAGAGTTCTTTCCCTTCAACTGTTTCCAGGCACTGCTGCCCGCGCATCTGCACAATACGTGCGGCGCCCTTGAGATGACTGATGTACTCTTTCATAGAGTCTTGGGACATCAATGTCTATTAAGATTGAGAAGTTAGTGACGTTCAACTTAGAGACACGGACAGTCGGTTACCTCATAGAATGCCAGCATAATTACGGCGCCCAACGTCTGGTCGCTTCTCATCTCCTTGGGATCTGCGATGGCCTGACCGACCGCCCTCAATGCCTTGATGTGATGCTCCTGAGCGCGCAGCAGTGCTGTACCTCTCATACCCTTCGACTGCCTCATAGCTAATGCCGCCATGGATGTGGCCTTGAAAGCCTGCGAAAGGCATACCGATACCGTTCCGCTCCCTAAGAATCGTGGTAAGAAGGCGTAGTACCCGCGTGCAGTCGGTGTTAAGGGCACATTGACGAATTCAGACAAGAAAAGACATGAAGCTTGTTCATCCAACGAGTCCATCAACCCTCCTGGTACCTTCTCAAACACACTCATCAGGTCGCCTTGCTTGTCGCCCAATCTGAAGTTTGGTGTAGAACCTCTCCTTGTGGTAATGGCCGTCGTATCCAAGTACCAGTCATCCACTTCAACGCTCTTGATCGGTATTGATGGGTCGATAGTACTGTTGCTGTCGGAGCTTCCGGATCTCATCTTCTTGAGCTTGTCGGCCGACTTGCTCTGGTCGCGGACAACGGCGCCGTAGCCGGGACAGTGGCGTTTCGACTTGGTGCATCTTTGGCAAAATGGCTTCGCCTCGTCGCATTTCACCTTCCTTATCCTGCACAGCTTACACCCTCCGGAAGGCTTCCCTGTATAAACCATTATTGTCAAGATGCCGTCGTAGTATTGTGAGCCGTGGTCTGGTAATAAGCAGAAGAAGTGTTGTTGTGTTTGGCAGAAACGAAACGAGAACGACGGGTTCCAGCGGGATGGTTAGTACTGGAATATGGGCTGAACACTCAAGATATTTGAAGGGCAGTCCCTGCCATTCAGTAGCTGACTCGAGCAAGCTTTCGAGCTTGTCGACCTCGAGGGGAGGGGTTATTAAGAGCCGGTGAAGGTCGAGAGGGCCTTGGCGAAAATCTAACATGACATGTAATGACACGGACCAAATCTGGGATCGAGTGCCCGTCATGCCATGCATGCCATACGTACGGGGGCTAAATTAGCAGGTAGGCAGTTTGTCTCCCTAATAGCTGTGCTCTTCTGTCGCAGGTAGGCCAGTACGTGACGGGTAGTGTCCGTCCCGTCGGCTCGAGCACACGCGTCCGAGGACGACTAGATGCGCATGAGAATGTCGGTGCGGTCGATCTTCCTCCGCAAGGACGGAGTAGTCTTGACGTGATTCATGATTTTATTGCTTCCCTTTGTAGTCTCTTTCTAAATTTGGTCGAAACAGGAAAGAAATAATCGCGCAAAACTCTCATGTACGATTGATGGCAGGCCTGCAGCGGAGATGTTGGGGTTCGGATCCGGGCGGACAGGCCAGCCAGGCACGACATCCAAGACATCAGTTCTTCAGACTGGAAATATCATGACACACGCTGCAGATTGCTGATCCATCCGTGCACCCTGTCATCGTGTGACAGGACTAAGTCTATCTTGGGCCGCATGTGTTCTCGGACCTGTCCATTTGGTCGGTTTTCTCGCTAGAATAATGTTTCAAGGATTGAAAGACGCGGCTGGACCTCAGGCCGTCTTGGTGTCGACCTCCTCACCCCCGCTCGGCCGAGCGCCCACCGGGAAGTGGTCTGGTAGGTGTTTCGTTTCACCAAGGCAAGATGCGGATCCGAAAAATGCCCAAAGCTCAAGCGAACTGTCATCCGTTTGAGGCAAACCTCATTTTCTTCTGCCTTTCTCGCTTATTGGAAAAGACGAACGTTGCTTGACCACAGAAGAGAAATCCGGTGCAGTCAAGCGAAAGGTTGATGAGCCTTCTTGATGCATTTGCTGATGCATGTGAAAGAGATGGGAAGCCCGTGCAGACTACTGCACCCGTGGCGCTGTGGCGTCTTCGTTGGA